TGCGCCCGCGGTTGTGAGCCCCTCATTGCACTAGAGGCGGGGATCGGTAGTCATACAGATGCCAGCGGAGCCGAAGTTTGCGGGGGCAGGGCATGAAATTTTTGGACCTGCTCTGTATGTACGCACTCGGGTTGCCACATTAAACCCGACCTTGTGTCACATCACGCCTCAGTAGGAAGGCCACGATAAATACTACCCCGCTATACTAGAGTGGTGAACATGGAATTTTCTATTGACTATGAAATTAGTCGCAAGTCGGACACAAATTAATCGCAAGTCGGACACAAATTAATCGCAAGTCGGACACAAATTAATCGCAAGGTTAACACAAACAAACAACTGACGGAATGTTCATTTTCATGACGGAATTTGACACAACACGATCTTCCTATTCACTCGTATATATTCACAACTTTTAGCTTCGTCTAACACAATCTATCCCAGTGGACGAAATAAACGGTTCAATCACGTGAAGAAGGCTGGAGCGTACATTTAAAACGTTGTGAATATGGTAATGAAGGTAACAGTTCGAATAATGTAAATAATAAAAGTAATCATAATACCTCATCTCAGAAATTATGAGACACGATATATATATATATATATATATATATATATATATATGAAGAAATATAGTTTTAAACTGTGCTATATTTATGGGATAAAGTGTTCAATATTAGAGATAAAGCGTATGTAAATATGAATATAAAAGTGAACATTGAAGTCTCAGTTATTGCCCTTTTCAAATCATATATATATATATATATATATATATATATATATATATATATATATATATATATATATATATATATATATATATATATATATATATATATATATATATATATATATATATATATATATATATATATATATATATATATATATATATATATATATATATATATATATATATATATATATATATAATATATTAGATAATCCATTGGATAAAGACGAAGGTTAGATCCAGTGACGAGGCCGAAAGAGTTGTGAGAATCAATATCCATACCCTATCAATTATACAAATATCATACCCATATATATATATATATATATATATATATATAAAGTGTTGAACATGGACTCTTCCATTGATTACGAAACAATTCGCAAGTCGAACACAATCTAGTCGAAAGCAGGAGGCAAACTAGTTGCAAAGTGGTCGTAAGTCGGTCACAAAGTAGTTGCATGTTGGACACAAAGTAGTCGCAAACCGAACAGAAAGTTGTCGCAAGTCGAACACAAACTAGTCGCAAACTTAACACAGACAGACATGTCGGACATAAAGTAGTCGTACAAGTGTCGCACCAACTACGGTATTTCTTAGTATTGTAATATCAATCCACGTGATTAAAGAGTTTTTTCACTAATCTTGTGTTTCAGTGTTTTCCTTTGAAATATTATTAATTCAAAACACGTGTTGATGCGAATATTGTAACAAGATAATTTTGCGATTTTGTTTTACGTGGGTATCGCAAGGAGTCTTTAAAACTGTATATGAAATAAATTTCGCTGACAGATGAAAAATGTTCTATTGAATAACTAAAGAACTCTTAGCTTTTGATTTCTCTTTCAAAAATTTCTCTTCTTTTACTAATCATTTGTTATTTTTTGTACAATTTCAAAATAAATGCACGACAAAAAACTGCAAGGTTCAGCGGATGGTAACATGCAATGCTAAATTCGCTTGTTACGTGCAGATGCATGCCACTGGAGACGGGATGCTCCTTGCCAGTCGTCCGAGGATGTATCGATTTGAAGACGCCTATCCTATGCGAAAATCGCCGGCCACAGTAAATCTCCAGTAAAGACCAGCTGGCCAGTGTTGCATTGCTGTAAGAAAAGACTTTTACAATAAACAAGTGATGCCTACCCTACCATTTGATATCAAAGGTAAAAAACCATATAGTTTGAATATCGATGTACTAAAAATCAGAACCGGTGGACCCAGGTTCGAATTCTGGCTGAGATAGATTTTCTATTTAGCTATGTTTTAATCAACATACGATCATTATAGCAAAATAAAAGGTCGTATGCGTTCATGACTCTCCAAACATCCATGTTTTTAAAAAAATTTTGTGTATAACAATGCTTCCTTGGGAAATATAGTGGAATGTTTTCTCGTTGAATTCTACACTATTCTGTCATTTTCTAACACTGGGTGCCAATAAGATTTGAGTGCTTATTCTACTTTGTGATTTAAACAATATTTGGGGTTTTCTTCCGATTTGGTATGATGTAATCCGTTTAGGAAATTCCATGATTCCACGTTCATTGAACTATGTTCCTCTTATCTTACCTATAAATCACTCTCAATCATATCCTATAGAATCCACTGACGGGTATGGGGTCGCAGCTTTCAACATGCGAGGCGTTGATTTTCTGGTTTCCATAGTAAATAGGTCGTTTATGAAGAGTTGTTGGCAACATACACAACCGATTTTAGATTTTGTCCTAGATTGGTTCCACCTAAGTTTGAAGAGCCCAACCTATCTTATTATTTAATCTATAGATGGAGGGTAAAAATAGATATTTAACCTAGTGATTCTCAACGTGGTTCAGGTGGACCACCGGTTCTCCACATAGCATTTCTAGCGGTCCACAGAGAATTCGTAACCATAAAAAATTGTAGCCATTTCACAAAAATGTATCTAAATTATTCATACTTTGAAGAATTAAAAAAATATAATATTTTGTTTAATTCCACACATGTCGATTTGGAAAATTCGAAATTACGGCAGGTATATGCCATGCTATATTTATTTTAAAGTAGAAAGAAAAAGTAAGAGTGGTCCATTTGAATTTTTTGAAGAGAAAATGGTCCATGAGGTGAAAAAAGTTGAGAAGCACTGATACCTATAGATGAAGGGTAAAAATAGATTTTGTGGTTTCCATAGTAAATGCGTCTTTTATGAAGAGTTGTTGGCAACATATTCAACCGATTTTGGATTTTGTTCTTGTAGATTGATTCTACCTAAGTTTGAAGAGCCCAGCCTATTCTATTATTTAACACATAGATGGAGGGTAAAAATAGATTGCGCTAAAGTAAATATAACAAACTCGACTCGAATTCCAATTCGGCTCGCCGTTTTCGCATGACAAACCGCCATTATATCAGCTGTAGACCTTTGTCTTAACTATATATCTAGTCAAATGCAATGGCCGATGGAGATGAGATTAAGCGAGTAGACAATTCAGCAAAATCATATACCTCAAAAAACACCCACAATCACGACAACAACAACAACAACAACAATAATAATAATAATAATAATAATAATAATAATAATAATCAAAGCCAACCGCCCAGATATTGTTATTAAAGACCGCAAACAAAAAGGTACCTCCTTATTGATATGGCAGTCCCTGCTGACTGCAATGTATCTTTGAAGATATTCAAAAAGCTGTCAAAATACAAGGACCTTGAAATAGAAATCTCAAAAATGTGGCATATGGGAACATCAACAATCCCTGTTGTAGTTGGAGCCCTAGGACTGGTTGGAAAAAGATTGCAGTAGACTAATTGAAGGGATTCCTGAAGTCCATGCCTCAAGGAGATACAAAAAATTGTTCTGACAAGTACAGCCCACACTTTACGAAGGGCTTTATCTATGTAATTTTTTTTTTTTTTTTTTTTTTTGTCAGTGGAAAGTGTCATGATGCCATTTCTAACCTTAGGTCTCTAGGCGGGACCCGGAAAGAAATGTGTAAACGCCAGAAATCAAAGAAAATAATAATAATAATAATAATAATAATAATAATAATAATAATAATAATAATAATGATAATAATAATAATTAGAAAAGTTGGAAAGGCTGGATTTTAGTTGCTCACAAACCTGCAATAAAACGAGTCCAAAACACATTGAACAGAATTTTAAATCAAAGCAAAATAATATAAAATTTAGATAAGGAAGAAATCATGGAACATATAAATCAGACACAAAATATTGAAATGGACGGACGAGAACAACTCCCAAAATTAAAACCAATAAAGCAGAAACTCAAAACTATTAAACATTGTAGAAATGCAACACTCAAATTAATTCTGGATGATTTGACCCCTCGTATGTCTGTCTTAATGAATTAAAGTTTTCTCAACAATAGCAGCAACTAAAAAATTAAATATCAAAGTTTTAAAAGGCGGTTTAAACATGAAGATCTGACCTTTAAAAAGAAAACTAGAAAAAGAAAAAATAATAATAAGGTGAATTTCATCAGTTTGAAAATGAACTGGCAAGAGGAACAAATGTAAGAATTTTAAAAATACAAATAAAATAATGAAAATGAAGTCCTTACGGCAAAAAAAAAAAAATAAAAAAATTATATTCGAATACTTGTAAGAGATCCACAACTATTCATAAAGAAAAAAGGTAAAATAATACCTTTTGAGGAGTATACTTTTTTTTTATGATTGCATTCTATGACGCGCAAATACACGAAAACCAGAAAAGCATCACTCGCCAACCTTGATCATTTAGATATTGTAATATCTTTGATTTTTTATTAGTAAAATGATTGATTCAAAATGAGTAAAAATGTTTGACGGTATATAATGAGAACCGATTGACAAAACGGTTAAATAAAAGAAATTTCAAGTTAACCAGAAGATCTTGAATCAAGAGAACATGAAAAGGAACAAGAAATGGAGATAAAAAAAATAAAATCACACAAACCACAGATCATAATTGGGAAACTCTTTTAAATAAATCAATGAAGATAAATGCAAAAAAATTGAAGATGCTAATCAAATTCTGCGGATTTTTAGTTTCTTCAGAAGCCTGCAGTAAAACGTGTCCAAAACAAATTAAACAGAATTATTTTAAGGAAAGCAAGAATAGTATACAAGAAGCTAAGGAAGAAATTAGGAAACATGTTAGACACAAAATATGGAGCAACGGGAACAACTCCCAAAATTACAACCAACAAAACAGAAGCTCAAAACTATTAAACTCTATAAGGCAGTTCTCAAATTGATTCTGGATGAAGTAGACTCTCATCTAAGTCTCAATGAAGTAATATATGTATCAACAATAATAGCAGTCAAAAAAAAATTAAATAAATTCAAATAGAAAAATATAACTTCATATAACATGATATATCTAATTTATAAAATTTCATAAAGAAAGAAAATGAACAGCTTGTGAAGTGAATTATCAGAAGTCGATGAACTGGCAAAAGGAATAAATGTAAGGACTACAAAAAGCAGAAAAGTAAAAAGAAAATACAAAATTATGAATGAAAATGAAGTCCTTACAGCAAAAGAAAAAAATAAAGCAAACAATACAACTGAAGACTCAAAGAATCAGACACAAGATCAAGATTCTACAGACAGAACAAGATCTTTCAAACCGACGCGAAGAAATTTTACAGAGAAATAGTTTAATAAAAAATTGAAGTGCCACCCCTCAGCCACCAAAATGAAAGCGATATAGCTTGTCCAGTGGACTGTAACATAGCGAACAAAGTATTTGAAAAACTATCAAAGTATAAAGACCTGTAAATTGAAATAAAAAAATGTATAAATTTAAAACAAGCATTGTACCATTCATAGTAGGTGCGCTTGAAATGATAAAAAAGGAACACAACAACACATTGAGAGAATCCCTGGAAATCTCAGTTTAAGAGAAATACAAAAAATGTCTTGATAATTACAGCCCACACATTAACAAGAACTTTATCTCTGTCACGCAGATGATGTTTATATATATATTACGAAAATAAATCATGAAATGTTAACTATAAAATAGACAACTTTTTAAGGTCTTCCTGCAATCCTTCGGTTGGGAGTGTAACCATTGAAATCAAACTCGAAATAATAATAATAATAACAATAATAATAATAATAATAATAATAAATAAATAAATAAATAAGAAAACAACAAAACAAAGCGAGATATCCTAGGACATGGTTACTGGACTGAGAACAATTTAACCCCTATAAATTAAATAAAAGATTCCGTTAGAGATTCGCTGAAGGTTACTCAGCTCAATATACAAGTGAAGAAGTCCATGGGACACAGCGGCCGAAACGTTGTGATTATAACAAAAAGATGAATATGAATAGTCCAATTGTAAATCAGGAAGATGAAGTTTTATTTATTTTGAAAAGTAATGACAGGATCATTCGACTGAAAAAACGAAACAAGTTCAACTCGGTAGCATTGTCATAGATTGAGGCCAAGAGGAGACACAATAAATCTGTTTAGTTTAATTTCAATATCCATTTTGAAAGTAATAAATTCATCTAATACACAAGAGGTTACTCCGAAAGAATAAGAATAAAAAAATGAATAATAACACATTGAGAGAATCCCTGGAAATCTCAGCTTAAGAGAAATACAAAAATTGTCTTGATAAGTACAGCCCACAAACTAAGAAGAACTTTGCCCATGTAACACTAGTGCTGCTATGGGAGTTAGAAAAACAAATCATGGAATGTAATCATAACAACACACAACTACCTGCCTTAGGTCTTCATCTAAATTCGGTTTTAATGACCATAACAAGGATCGAAATAATAATAATAAGAATAAAAACTTTTTATTTTGGCTGAACTGGACCAATGCTTTTTTTTAACTAAAATTACAAATTTTTGTTTACTGAAAAAAAAATTATTGTTAAAATGCATATTCTGTGATAAACATTCAGAAAAATTAACCATCTTGTATCTTTGTATTAAAATTTGCACTCACTGAATATTAAATCCGACATTACAGCTTCACTTCATCTATAGTGCACAAGAAAAATAGAAAAAATTTACAGAAAAAAAACTGCAAGAAATTTATGAAGAACACCTCGACTATGTGACGGAAAGGACTAGTAAAATTTTTTGGGGACTTTAAAAAACAAAAACAGAACAATCACAGCTAATCGCAAATGATTATTTGATTAGAACTAACAAAAAAAAAAATGTGCTTTTTTATTGATATGGCAAATACTGCAGATTGTAATGGATCTTTTTTCAATTCTTCAAAAAAACTATCAAAATTACAAATATCTTGAAACAAAATATAAAAATGTGTCAAAAAGACATCAACAACTCCACCTGTAAAATAGGCCCTCATTTAATTGATTTCAAGTCAAGATTCCAATAGACTCACTGAAAATTCCTGATAAACCCATGCCTTAAAAAATTTTAAAAAATATTGTTTTTTAAACAGTTCAACATACGAAGGGCTTTATCTATATAAATATGTTTATTTTGTATTTTTAATTGGTCAGTGAAAAATGTCATGATGCCATTTCTAAAATTAGGTCTCTGGGCGGGATCCGGAACAATAATGTGTAATTTTCAGAAACTGAAGGAAATAATAATAATAATAATAATAATAATAATAATAATAATAATAATAAATGATGATGATGAAATGGAAATCTCAAAAATGTGACACATGAAAACATCAACAAACTCGGTTGTAGTTGGAGCGATCGGATTGATTGGAAAAGATTCCAATAGAATCATTGAAAGGATTTCTGGAAGTCCCTGCCTTAAAGAAATACAAAAAAAAAAAAAAAATTCTCACGTAGAGCCCACACTTTACGAAGGGCTTTATCTATTTTATATATGTATGATCGTAGTTGTTCTTTTTGTTGTTGTTTTTAACCGTCAAAAAATGCTTAGTGGAAAATATTAGGATATCATTTCTGACCTTAGGTCTCTGGTTGGGACCCGGAAAGAAATGAGTATACAACAGAATTGAAAGAAAAGAAAATAATAATAATGTTTAGATTTGGATATTTGAAAACGAATTGTGATCGACATGTTTTATTAAAAAAAAAAAAAAAAAAAAAAAACAACAAATAATTTACATTCGTCGATATAACGATGAGCTCCGATAATCACGAGCAGTTAGAAAAAATATAATTTTTTTTTTATTTTGAAATTCAAGTTTCTGATTATCAATATACAGAGACTTTTTGACACTGATCGAAATTTATCGGAATTTTATATATATATATATATATATATATATATATATATATATATATATATATATATATATATATATCTATAATTCTCTGTTTCATTAAATAATATAGACAAAGTTTTGTCTATTTATTTTAAATAAGTCCCTTTCATATTGTTTGATAAACTTAATAACATTATCATTGAAGACGAAAGCAAATCACCGTATTGATTAAATTAAACATCAAACAATATGAAAGGGACACAACTTAAAATAAATAGAAAAACTTGTCTATATTATTTAATTCTACATGCATTAATGAAATGTAAAATAAAAATAAATATATATATATATATATATATATATATATATATATATATATATATATATATATATATATTATTGAGCATTTCTGAAATTAATCTTTTGGTCAAATCAAGAAAACAGCTTTTTTTTGTCTGGTTTATAAAAATTTCGTTTCTGTTCTATATTTACTGATAGAAATCTTATCGACATTGAAAGCGCAAAGACATGCGTACACATTATCAGAAAATACAAGAATCTCCTGCTTTCAACCGATTCTGACAGAAATAGAAAAGGATTTAAAATTCCCTAATTCTGTTGCAGAATTGGGAGAACATTTTTAAAAAACCACAACTTTCGACAAAGCAAGTGCAATTGGGCCAGAACTTCAACAAACTAACATCTTATCAAAACCAGAATCGGATCGTCGATGTCGAGTCAGAAACCACATACAGATCGGCAATCAACATCAGAAATTAAAATAAAATCTATAGAACAAAAATAAATTCTATTCTTTCAACAGAAAGATTTAATATTGAAACACACAGACACACAAACACCTTCCATCATTATGGCTGATGCTGACCTCCAGGAAAGCGACTCGTTGCGCTTTCTCGGGCTAACGTTCTCTGCTGACGTGAAATGGATAGACTATATTGAATCTATTGCTGTTAAGAAAGTCGGTCCACTGAATCGGGCGAGACAATTTTACTCTCCTGAATCTATTTTACATATCTATAAATGTAAGCAAATATGTGGATATAGATCCGACAGTATGAAGAAAAATATAATATTTTAATATTTCCCCCTTTTCTGGCAAGATTAATGATGGACAAACGTACTTATAAATTTTAGATTAAAATAAAATTCTTTTTCAATTAAAATATACTCTATTTTAGGAATACGTTTTCACAACATCGCCCACGTGACGCCGACGTGATCGAATTGTGAAACGGAACGCTGATCTTAAACATTTCAGTTATTCTGTTTTGATTAGTCGTATGTCTATCGTCTTTTCATGTTGACTTGAATATCGTCTAATTTTAATTATGTTTTAATAACTCTGTCCTGAAGAAGGTCTACTAGACCGAAACGTCTGACGTCGACATTGAAACAACATTAAAACAGCATACTTGCATATTCGGATTTTTGTTTTTCCATATTTTTCTTCATATCTATAAATCTACTATTCGTCCATGCTTAGAATATTGCTGCCATATATGGACCGGTGACCCTGCTATTTACTTTTTGATAATATCCAAAGAAGAATCAGCAATATTATTGGTCCTGCTCTGGCGTCTCGGCTTTATTTTCTCACCGCCATAAGGTTACATCATTTTGCCTTTTCTATAAATATTTTCAGGGTAATTTTTCGGATGAGCTCTCCGCTATGGTACCTTGACCTCATAAATTAAAACGCAGTACTACATTGACACCAATATCTCGTCAATTTATAGTCGAGCTGGTTCGATGTAGCAGTAAATTCTATACTGGCAGTTTCTTTTTTCGCACTTCTCGCTTGTGGAACTCTCTACTGTCTCCATGCTTTCCAGCCAACTTTAATCTGCAAAAATTTAAATGCATTGTCAATCACTATCATCCTATCCTCCTGATTAATTTTTTTTTCCGTTCATCTTAAAATTATAAAAAACGCAGATTGTGTGTGTGTGTGTTCGTTCTGTATATATTTTTGTATTTGGGATCTATTTCATTTTTCAAACCGATTTCAACAAAAACTTAACAGGACTACGTAAAATTACCCAGCGGTGGTTCTTATTTTCCCAAAATTGAAAAACAAAATTGTTTCTGCACGAAATCAATTTGAAAGCACGGATAAGGGTATCACACCCGGCTAAACGTCCAAATTCCGTTAACTTCCGGTGACTCAGCGTTTTTTTTTTTTCAGAGAACGATACACAAAAAGTAAAACAAACGATAAGCATACACAAGTCCTCCTAACTAAAAATAATAACCGGAAACTAATTTTAAATACACATGGTGTCCAAATAAAACCCATGTGTACAATCAAAATGCGGAAGTTAATTTTAGTCATCAACCAAAAGATATTGCCAACCGGCTACGATGCTAACAGCAGCTGACATAAATACAGCCGATTTCTCCCACCAAGCATCTCCGGGGTAGAGGGACGTGCCTCCCCCGAATTCCCAGCTAAATACCCTAATCATTAATTAATCTGTTTATAATTCCTCCACACCCAGTAAAACCTTGCGTTTCGCCTTCGTTAGAGAAACCTCTTCCTCCAGTTTCCTGTAACACCTTGTGTTTTAGTGGCTTTGCTGCCTTGCCTAGAGTGATATCGATTAAAAAATCAATAACAATAAATAAATAAATAAAAATATCTTGCCATTAAAATGATAATATTATCGACGTGCTCGACAAACTGAAATTATTATTGGCTATTTTCGGGACTTTCTCGTCGTTTCTCGACATAAGAAGGTACAGCAAACGGACAGCCTGACTACACATACATATGGTTTGATTGTAATGCTGAGGGCTTTCTGAACTGGTGGACATAGTGTGACACAAGGTCCCCAAACAACCCACCTCACGACTATTTTGAATTTAGAAATATCCTTCCCCTAGACTGATTGCCAACCAAGGTTATATGACCCAGATTGTCTACAGCTGGGAGAAGAGAAAGATCCATACCTTTATAGATATATCTGTATGTTTTCTGTCTTTATGTACAGTTAATATATATCATTTATCTTTTCTTTCTTTATTTTTATCACAGCTTCAACTTCCCCGAAACCAAAACGGACAGGTGGTAGTCGAAATAACTGCAATGAAGATAGTGGAACCAGGTGTAAACAGGACAGTGACTTGGGTCGTTCAGCTGGTATACCGTTTTCCACCGTGTATCCCGTGTCGTATTTACAGGACCATAGTCTCGGAAACAAGCAACAAGGCGTAAATCCCATGTATGTGGCCGTCCCAGTGGCAATAAATCTTCATCCTATTAGCTTTTTCTTGTTCGCACTCTAAAAAACTGAAACAAAAATAAAAAAGATAAACAGCTTTTCATTCCTGTTTCCAGTCTAGGATAAAAACAACCCGATGTCTACTAAGGACCTCAGAATGTTTAAAGAGCGGTGTCAAAATATCGACCACTACAACAGTCAGTTCGACGTCAGTCAGTTTTGCAGATCAAATGAATCGTTGCTCGGACAGTGAACGTTCTTCATCAGGAAGCGAAACGAAATTATTCTTGCAATGTAATATATATATATATATATATATATATATATATATATATATATATGACAGTAAAAACAAATACATACAGACATAGAATATATAAATATATATATATATATATATATATATATATAAATATATATGTATATATATATATATATATATATATATATATATATATATATGAAGATATATTCAGTCAGCGTGCATTATCACGCACATGCAGCCACGCGCGCACGCTACCACCTGCATACACACGTATATCAATATGCATCAATATATGTACACGGCATATATTGCCTTACATGTTTATCAAACAGGAATATAAAAAGACATACCTACATCAACAAACATACACATATATCTATATCTATATTTATTTACAGAAATTAAGTTCCTCCATTTTTATTCGAAATTTTGTTAAAAAATTTGAAATATTTTATGAAGAAAATTTATTTACATAACTCTTTTTTGCTTGTTGCTAGCATTTTTTTTATTTACCTTTATCCTCTCTTTCTCTCTGTTTACCTCTCTCTGTATATTTCTTTGTTTCTTTCTTTCTTTCTTTCTGTATTTCTTTGTTTCTTTCTTTCTGTCTGTCGTGGTATTTTAACTGAGTATGGCAAAAAGCCAAGGTCGTTGAGAGTGAATTAGTATTTGGAAGATTGTATTGCTCCAGGTCTTCCAAACAATTTCTATCACAGGGTACACTGCTATAATTATCACGAAGTTATCTCCCCTTTGTCCCACTCCTCATTAATAAATTTGATACGGTACAAGGATAAATTCGCTGAAGAAAGAAACAGAAGAAGATTGTATAGCGTCAGTCTTCCAAGCAGCCAAGACCTACTTTTATAAAATAATTTTCCAGGGCAAAAACACCGATCACTGATACAAACAGAAAAAACGAAAGTATCTAACAACTTGTATGTTTGTTTGTTTGTTTGTTTGTATCTATCTATCTATCTATCTATCTATCTATCTATCTATCTATCTATCTATCCTATCTATCTATCTGTGTCTGTTCGTATCTATCTATCTCTCTCTCTCTCTTTTTCTCTCTGTCACACACACACACGTTATATTCACTTAGGCGCATATACCTTTGGGCAAGGTATAAATTCACCTTTCCCCCTCGGCTATGAGTGAATTCGCTGGAATTGTATCAGTAAATAATTATTATCTCCAAAAATTCTTAAAATTTAAAAATAAAATTTTCTGATTTTAAGTAACCTGTAAAAGGTTGATAAACCATAAAAAACAAGTGAGTCGATCCTTATCTATCGATCTATCTCTTTCATTACTTATTTATTAATTTATGTAAAGTCTTTGTTAATTTCTTTCCAAGCCCTTTTTCTCTTCATCTCTGCCTCTGTTTGTCTGTCTCCAGCTCTTTCTCACCTCTCTCTCTTTATATATATATATATATATATATATATATATATATATATATATATATATATATCATATACAACACAGTCTCAGTCTCCAATTATTCATGTAGGTTTTCGGAGGTTAGATAAAAACACGTCAACCTCGTGCAACAAATGGACAACCATCACACAAAAAGACACACACACACACACACACACAAACACGGACACACACACAAAACACACACACACACGCAAGAACACACACACACACACACAACACACATATATATATATATATATATATATATATATATATATATATATATATATATATATATATATATATATCATCATACAACACAGTCTCAGTCTCCAATTATTCATGTCATTATTGTACAGCATGATTTATTCCATTGTGTGTTTCGGAATTTACTTACAGATTTTGGGAATCCATAATTTAGTTAACTTTAAATTGTTTTGTCTTTATCTCACCTATCATTAATAATATAAAACCCTAATTTTCTAAATACAATTTATTGTCAATCCTATTAAAACATATGTTGCTGGTATAATTTGCTATCCCAGATAGCAGTGAACCTAAATTCATTTACATACAACTAAAGGCTTTGGACATAAATTACCCATTCTGGCCCATCTCTCTTTAGAGTGGGGATACCTCACCCCACCCCACTGTCACCAACCCAGGCTCCTTATCTAAACGAGATGGACCTTCTTCCCGACTGCTATCTAAATTAAATTCAAACCCCCGATTCTGAGACATTCAGTGTAGGGCTGAAGAAGTCTAATATAAGGTTGCGCTGGTCTGAAATTGACTATGCCTCATGAGGTAATTTTAGATTTTTGATATATATATATATATATATATATATATATATATATATATATATATATATATATATATATATCATCTGTAAGCACAAAATGAATTGACATGTTTATCAATTACGCAATAAGATCTCCCGTTTTAGTAATGAGATATTCCATTCGTTATAATAATAGGCATTACTCGTCATATATATATATATATATATATATATATATATATATATATAAAATAGTTGGATTGATGTGAGTTTGTGAGCCTGAGTTTCACGGTATTTGCGATGAGTTTGTCTGACGATTGCAATAGCGTGAAATATTAGAATCATAAACTCACATCAATCAAATAAATATGTTAAATCTCTATCACTGATATTGAGCGCTTTCCAATAAATACCAAGCATATATAATATATAAAATAATATATATATATATATATATATATATATATATATATATATATATATATATATATATATATATATATATATATATATATATATATATATATAAATATAGTCTTAAGTGTTCTATATTTATGGAATAAAATGCTCAATATCAGAGATAGAGCGATAATAAAAGTGAACATAAAAGTCAACACTTTTTTGACAAATACCGAAATATATATATAATCGTCATCACACACACATGTGGCAAACGATTTATATATATATATATATATATATATATATATATATATATATATATATAAATATATATATATATATATATATAATGAACATTGTAACATATTCTATATATATTATATAATTAATATATTCATAAATATCATATATATATAATTATATATATATATATATATATATACATATATATATTTATATATATATACATACATATATATATATATATATATATATATATATATATATATATATATATATATATATATATATATATTTGTAAAATGATTTTATATATTCATCAAATTTACATTTCATATTAAATTTTTTTCCGTTTCTTGATACTTATAAGATGGTGTTTAAATTTAAATAATAATGGAATATCTTGTTAATAACGATATCAATAAATTATTTTTGTTGCATCAAATCACCTTGAATAAATGTTCTTATTAGTTCATTTCTCAGATTTTTTTGTGTGCTCTTTAACCAATTCATTTCTACAAAAAAAAAATAAACAATAACGCAAATCTAAAAATTTATTTTGAAAAAATTTTTAAATCTTTGATGTTTTATCTAAACATTTTCTTTGCAAAGACGTTGGGAAAATTTGAAAACATTAAATTCGACGTTTTTAGAAGGGTTCTATACGTTTATCTTGCTATACAATTTTTATTTTTATAAAGAGTAAAATAATGCATGAATACATAAATATATACTTGCACAATCAGAGATAAATGCTCAAGAAATTTAAATCTTTCAATTATATCCTGTTAGGAAAAATATCACATCAGATACATGATGTGTATGTAAGTTAAAAATTTAATCATCCTTCATGGGGAAAAAAAATTTCCCCAAATGGAAGATTTCAATAATAATTTTCGAGTTTTCGAAAATTAAAGAGAAAATTTATGATTTGATTCCTGTTCTTTTATATAGTCCTGGCGAAATATTCCCATTAGCGGACAATGTTAAATAATAATCTCCACAAGTTCTGTATTAAAATTTTTAATTGGTTGAAAAGGCTAATATTTCTCTATTGTTTTTTAAATTTTTTTGCATTTGAAACTTATTTTTGTATTTTCAATCTGTATGACAAAAAAAAAAAAAAAAATAAATCTTTTTTTTGGTATATAAAATTCTTAATCATCATTAAAAAAACTGAAACAAAAGATATAATTATTTTGATTTTGAATCTATTGCCCTGATCTCTGTTGTTATGACAACAAGAAAAAATCCGGGAACGGAAATATTTAACTGTTTGCTCAGTTATTTTAAAAGTGTTTCCAGTGATAAAAAAATTGTGGCTAAATTTATCTGTAAAAATGGCGAAATAGAAAAGACTAAGCGATGGAAGTCAACAAATTAAAAGTCCTAGTTATGATAAAATAAGGAATGGGAAGGGATTATATACAAATTTATTGAGATTCGAAACCTCGCCGACATTTTAATTGGCCATTTACAATTTATTCCACTAACATCCAGTATGTTAATTAAAAAAGTTTTGTTAAATTAACAGAAAAAATCCAATATTGTTTTAATATACTTGGATATTTCCATTAACTCCCACGTAATAGGAAGATTAGAAAATAGATGTCTCCCATTGAATATATGTTTTATCATGTACGTATTTGGAAATTAATATTTATGACTTCTAATCTTTCTTTCTGATAGAACATCATTTTGGAAACATTCATTTTTAAAAAAACGTTGATCTTTAAAATTAAGTTCAGGATATCTGTTGATCGCCTAAACTGAAATTTAAATCATCTTTTCATAAAAAACTTAATTTCTAATATTATAATGTTATATATATATACTTTTTTATCTATAATAAAAATTTTTCTTTACATTATAATCATTTTACTATTTGATTTTGATAAAAAGTTCATTTTTTTAGAGAATATCAAATAAAATATCGTTGTCAAATCAAGAAAAAGAATTTTTCAACTTTTATTATATTCATGTTATGCATATAGCGTAATCCTATGATGGCATAATTATTTGATTCTTACAATAAAATAAATAAAATAATTTATCAAATTTTATAATTTTAATAAAAGTATTTTGTTGGGAACCTCATATACGCAGAACGATTCCAATTGTTTCCAACACATCTTCTTCGAAAAATTTCCATCCATCCTCTTCTTTTTAATTTTTCTTTTCAATAAAATTGTTTTTGTCATATACGTTCTCCTTCGTAAAATGAGGCTTATATTTCTGTAATTCCTTTAAGAAAAAAATCTAATTTAAATATTAAAAATTGTATTAAATATATTCCTTCAAAATTTTCAATTTATATTTTAGATGACTCGGATTTTTACCACTGTGTTCTAAATAAAAAAACAGTTTAAATTTTTTTTCCAAAATTTTTTTTATCTTAACAGTTACTGCATATTCAGACATTTAATGAATTCTTTTACTAAAAAAAATTTTGTTCTTATAAAAAATGTAATATTTGTAAAAAAATGGAATTGAACGCGTTCATAAAGAAAAAAATCTAAAAATTATTAAAATTTTTAAAATAATTTATCTTTCCAATGCGAAGTTAAAATTAGGTTCCGGCTTCAATTAATATATCTAAATATATTTTTTTATTATATTTATAATCTTCATTTCTATATATACGTTCTTACATACATTTATCTTTTTTAACATTCGAACTGCCACATTCAATATTATATATATAAAAAAATAAAAGTTTTTTTTCTTTTTATGTTTATGTTTTTTTTTTTTCCCCATTCAATGTTGTTACTTTTCATTATTTATGATACCTCAATAACAATATTTAAACTTTGTTTTTATACTTACATTTAAAATCTATATATAACAATATTATATATATATATATTAAACTATAAATTTATGAAAATTTCATCCAACTTCCAGGTGCTTTCCAGTCAAAATTTGATCTTCAAAATCTAAATTTTGAGTGCAATTGTTCTTTTTAACTCTTAAATCTTGCTCTTTTATTGTTCTTCTTATTCCTATCTTGAAAATTTTTTCTCTTATTCTTTTAATTAAAAATACATTTGATAGACTGGCTTTATTTACATATTATTATCTTTATATAATCGACTAAAAATCTTTAAAATAAAATGTCTCCCCCTATATATATTTTTATTCAAATATATAAACTTCAATCAAAATTCCCGGTGGAACGTTTATTTATTTAGTGGAAACAAATTTTTTAAAGGAAAATATAT